GAGAAACCTTGTCTCAAAAACAAAAACAAAAAAATCATGTTAGAAAGCGTGGTGGAGAAAAGCTGCTTAGCTCATGGCAGCAGAAAACAGGAAGAGAGTGCCAGGGAGGACAGGGCTGGGGACAAGGCACAGGCTTTGCAGGCCCAGTCCCAGTGGCCCACATCCTCCAGCCAGGCCCCTCCTGACAGAATGGTCAGCTGTGAGCACATCATGGGGTAGCCCACCTGAGGAAGGCAGAACCCCCTGATTCAATCACTTCCCCCAAGCCCAAGCATTCAGTACAGCGAGCTTTTGGGGGCCCTTTGGGTCCACACCCTAACACTGACCTGTATGCACTCAAGGATCCCACCCCTGTACCTAACACCCCAATACAATAAACAGTTTCAGAATCTGATTGCCCCCAGCACACCCCTGAGCTTCGGGACTTCTGGCTTCCTAATTATGAGAGCTCTTTTTTAAGAGTCAGAGATGGGAACCTAATTCACAGCTGGTCATTCATTCGCTCATGGCTAGATCATACTTCTGTTCAGGCTTCAATTAAGAATTATAGTTAGGTCAGGCGTGGTGGTGCACGCCTGTAATCCCAGCACTCAGGAGGCTGAGGCAGGAGGATCACTGCAACTTCAAGGGCAGCCTGGGCTACATAGTGAGTTCAAGGCCAGCTTGGACTACCTCTGAATCTGTGCCTCCAAAAAAACATTAGAGACTTTTCTGTGTGCTTGTTTGCATTTTTCCCACTTAGAATGCCGGAGGGACCTAGAAACCCAAAACAGTGTGCCTTTGCAGTGGAGGTTCTTTAAAGCTCATCCCAGTCACTCAGCAGAGACTCACTGAGGGTCCGCATGCACCCCACACTCTGCAAATCCAGTGACAGGGGTGACTTCCTGTGGTCTCCTGGGGATTATTCACCTGTGCAAGGTGGCATACACAGCTGGCATAAACCAGTCCCTAGCTGGTGATTTGCATGGGGGAGATAGAGCAGGCGGTATGTTTTGTAGTAACACGAAGGGCTGTGAGCTAGGTGTTGGTGCAGGGCTCTGCTCAGAGTGCTGTTCCGGGTTTGCTTGTGTGCGCCAGGAAGATCTGTGGACAATGTAACACCCGGTACCTCAGAATGTGACCTTGTTTGGAAGTAGGGTCTTTGCAATGTCATGAGTTGAGGGTAAGCCACAGTAGAATGTCCCCTACCCACCCTTTTTGATCCTGAGGATTGAACCCAGAGCCTTTGGACTGAGCTACAACCTCAGCCTCTCTCTCTCTTTTTTTTCTTTCTCTCTCTCTTTCTTTCTTTTTCTTTTTTTTTTTTCGGCAGGGTCTCACTAAGCTACCCAGCTTGCTGGACCTTGTGATCCTCCTGCCTCAGCCTCCCAGAGTGCTGTGTTGACAGATGTGTACCACCACACCTGACTTAGTGTTTTCATAGAAAAGAGGACCCACAGGAAGTTATGCAACAGCAGGTCAGAGATGGGAAGAATGCAGCTTCTAGCCAGGGAGCACCCAGGATTGGTGGCCATCAACCCGAGCCATGAGACAGCACAGGAGGATTTCCCCAGTCTCAACGGGAGCAAACCCCTCCCCTTAACTGCAGACTTTTAATCTCCAGGACTGTGAGCAAAATACCTTCCTATTGCTTGGGGGCCCTAGGTACTGAAACATCCAGTCTGAAGGGAGGCTCAGATGAGGCAAAAGAGGCCACCCAGACGAGGGTTTAAGACTACAGTACTCCCCTGGAGGACAGGCCAAGAAAAACCACGGGCTGACGCCTGGTGCAGCAGCGCACCTGCAATCCCAGCACTAGGGAGGCTGAGGCAGGAGGATCGCTGTGAGTTCGAGGCCAGTGTGGGTCACATAGTGAGTTCAAGGCCAGCCTGAGTTGCATAGCAAGACCCTGTCTCAAAATAAAAAAGGCTGCTGGCCAGCAGGACGCGAGTGGGCGCGGAAGTGGTGGCCGCAGCTCCAGGCTGGGCAGCTCGTGCAGGGCTGTGCAGGGGAGGCAACGGGTTTGGGCGACAGAAGCATCTGTCTAGAGTCACCCAGGGTCCTGGAGGACAGGACTCTAGACAGAGTGATCGCAGTGAGGGACAATGACTGTGTGACAATGAGACCTTGCAGCTCTGCCCTCGACTCCCGGGCGCAGCGTGGGAACCGTCACCTACCCACGATCTCCTTTCTTCACCTCCATGCACTCTATCACAATCTAAGGACCCGGAGCTCTGCAAGTGCAGCTGGAGGACAAGCTCCCAGCCTCTCTGAGAAGAGAGAGATCCTGGAGGAGCGGAGGTCCTTCCAGGGGTGCAGCGACAGAGCCCGCCGAGACCCGCCTACCCACACCGCCCTGTGTCGGCTCCCGGTCGGCAGGCGCGGAGCTGCGCGCGCATGCGCGGCTCCGCCTCCGGGCGGGATGGGGCGGG